AGCTTTCTATTTGAACTCAGGGCTTTGTGCTTGCTAGGCAGATGCTCTGCCACTTGAGCGATGCTCTCCGCCCTTGTTTCTTTAGGTAATTTTTAAATAGGATCTCACTTTTTTCTGGGGCCGCCTTGAACTTAGATCCTCCTACCTAGGTCTCCCATATGGCTGATAACAGGAGATACCATCACACCCAGCTAGTTGGTCTCAAACTTAAATCCTCCTGATCTTTACTTCCTGTGTAGCTGAGATAAACAGGCATGAGCCTCTACAGCAGGCTTTTGAGGTAAGAGAGAAAGGGGCGGGGGGGGGGGGGGGGGCGATAGGTCCAGTAAGAGACCTTTCTTCCTTTCAAATATAGGCTTAACATATTATAATTCTTCCTAGAAACTCTGTTTTCACTTTCACTTAGTAAAATATACTATTTTTCTCTTTGATTTCTTTTATACCTGGGTCAAATATGTGTCATTTTGTTCCAAATATTTGGGATTTTTTCCAACAAGCTTTTCCTTATTCCTTCCTAATTTAATTCTGTGTCATCAGAATTAAATGCTTTTTGTTTTTTATTTTTTGTTTTGTCAGTCGTGGAGCCTGAACTCTGGGCCTGGGCACCGTCCCTCAGCTCTTCAGCTCAAGGCTAGTGCTCTACCACATGAGCCACAGCAACACTTCCGGCTTTTTCTGCTTATGTGGTGCTGAGGAATCGAACCCAGGGCCTCAGGCATGCAAGGCAAGCGTTCTACCACTGAGCCACCTTCCCAACCCGACTTAAATGTTTTTAAGTTTATTAAGACTCATTTTATAACCCAAACAAGGCCCATTTCGGCCAAATTCCAGGTGCAAAGACTGTGTGGTCGACTCTTGGGGTCTCCTCCTGCAGGTGTTGGAGTTAGTGTTCACATATTCTGACCCCTGTCTGATTTTTCTGTCCATGAATTCTAACAGTTTTTGAGAGAAGGATGCTGACATGCCTGCTCATCATTACAAAGTTGTCTGTTTCCCCTACAGGTTTATAAACTTTTCCTTCATGTATTTTGTAGCTCTGCTAACAGCTGACTAAAAATTTAGTATTATTATCTTTCTTGATGTATTGATCATAAAGTATTACCTCCTGACCTTTCTACTCCAGTAATATTCTGTCTTCTGAACACCATGTTGTCTACTTGTTATTTTTATTAGAGGCAGTATCGCTGAACCTTTCCCCCTTTCTACTTTTAACTTTATTAATATCTCTGCATTTAAAATGAAGTCCTTTGGCTTTTATACGTCTTATTTTTTTTTTTCAAAGAAATCCTCCTGTTTTGAGGTTTTTAATCCTCATGTGTTGCCTCATTTTTGAAAGATATTTTTACTAGCTGCAGAACTGAGGGTTGGCCATTCTTTTCTTTTTTGAGCTTGAGAAGTTCACTGATTTTTCATGGATTTATAAGTTTTATAAAGTTTGGAAAAAATTTTAACCATTCTGTCTTCAAATATGTTCTCTGCTCCTTCCCCTTGGAAAAAGAACTGGAGTTATACATAGCCTGGCGTGAGAAAGCTGACCTCCGCTCTCTTGTGAACCTTTTTCTGGTTCTGCTATCTTTGTTTCATTACAGATAGCTTCCATTGCTAAGTCTTCAACTTCACTATTCTTCTCTTCCATGAATAGGAAGTCAATCTAGTGCCGTTTCGAGCTCTAACTTTGTAGTCTTTATTTCTAAGACTTTTGTTTGTGCCTTTCTCTTGTCTTTCTTGTTTCAAATTAACTTACATTAAAAAAATGTTTGGTAAAGATGATATCTACAGAGAGGTTACATTTACATAAGTCAGGTAAAGAGTACATTTCTTTTTGGACAGTCACCTCTCAAATTAACTTTTTAAAACACAGAAAGCAGTCATTAGAACTGCTCTTATGTACTTGTTACTAGTTCTATCATCATACATTCCTGAGGTCAGTTTTTGTTGGTTTCTGTTGGTTTTATTTTGTTTGTGTTTGTGCCAGTTTTGGGGCTTGGACTCTGGGCTTTATGCTCTTGCTTGGATTTTTTTTTTTAACCTGAGGGCTGGAACTCTACCCCTTGAATTACACCTTCACTTCTGGCTTTTGGCTGGTTAACTAGAGATAAGAATCTCTTAGATTTGGATTCTTAGGCTAGTTTCAAATCTCAATACTTCAGGTCTCAGCCTCCTGAGGTAGGATTACAGGACTGAGCCACCAGTGGCTGGAAGGTGACTTTTGATGCTATGATTTCCTCTTCCCCATGGGGCATAGCCTCCTGTTTATACATGTGTTGGCCAGTGGGTGCCAGGGATACAACACATTTATTTTTCTGGGGGCAAAATACCTTTGTATTCCTACGCACATTCATGAGCTTTGTTATGGATGCAGTTAAAGTACTTGAAAACAGTTTGACCCTTTGAGGACTTATTTTCAGGGTTGGTTAGATGGGACTAAGGTGGTGCTCAATCTAAGACTAGTTATTGCTCAATACCAAGGCAATATCTTTGGTGCCAGAAAACTTTCAGTTACTGTAGCAAATACATAAGGTGATCAGCTTACGAAGAGAAAAGCTTTATATTGGGTGGAAGCTTGGGAGCTTCTGTCTGTAGTAGGTTGGTCTCATTGTTTTGAGCCTGTGGTGAGCAGTCCATGGCGGGGCAAAGCTGCTTACCCCATCATAGGACAGGGAAGATGGGGGGGGGGTATTCCTGGGGACCCAAAGACCTCCCAGTGGAACCTGCCCTTTAAAGCTTCCACTACCTCCCAATATTGCCAAGCTGGAGCCAAACGTCTCCCACTTAGACCTCTATCCAAAGCACATGAACACCCCAAGACGCTGGTATGGCTTTCTTGATCTCTGACACTAATTCCAACCCAGTGGCAAGAGGTCTTCCTCCCTCTGGCTTTCTGTACTTCCTTCCTGGACCTCAAGTACTTTCCTCGCCCATACAGGCTGACTGCCACATGGTTGAACAACACAGCAGGGCCCTCAGAGTTCTCTGAGTGAGGCTGTCTCCCTCAGATTCTTCTTTCTGTACATTGCAGCAGAGTTCAGCCCCTGATGTTCAGCGCTGTCTCCTCAACTCAGGAAATCTGCCAGTCTCCTCCCTGACCCCCTCTAATGCAGTGTATTTGAAACCGGCATAGTCACGGGGCTCATTCATTTGATTCCCATCTATCTGGGAGACTCATTTCTTGACGTTTCTTGTCTAGTTTTATTCATTGTGTCAAATGGAAAGGAAAATTGAGCCATTATAGCAACTTGGCTAGACATGGGAAGTTCATTCTCTAACTAATGAATACCCCCTCCTACAGGTAGCCTTCCTTAAGAACCCTATGAAGCACCACCCTCCCACAAATTCCAATGATTCCTCTGTCCTGGAGTTTTTTGGTTTGGGTTTATTATTTTCCTTTTGGGTTTGTTGTTGTTGTTTGTTTGTTTCTTTGTTTTGGTACGGGTACTAAAGCTTGAACTCAGGGCCTGGCACTGTTCCTTAGCTTTTTCATTCAAGGCTAACGCTCTACCACTTGAGTCACAACTCTACTTTTGGTTTTTTTGGTAGTTAATTGAAGATAAGAATCTCATAGACTTTTCTGCTCAGGCTGACTTCAAATCTTGATCTTTAGCTCTCAGCCTCCTAAGTAGCTAGGATGATAGATGTGAGCCCACAGTACCCAGCCTTGTCCTCGTTCTTATCTATGTGTACTGTTGCTGCTTGTTTATTTGCCCACCTCCTCACTAGACTACACACTGTAAGGTCCATTCCTGGACGGCGAACAGACCTCACCCAGTACCTGCGTTACCTAGGCAACTGGGATACCTGGAAGAGGTCACATCCGCATCCGCTGAGGTCACATCTTAACCTGATGTGGCCACACCTTTCTCCCACCTGATCCCACTTCCCTTTACCTGGACACACCCTTCCCCACCCCCTACCCTATATAAGGCCTAAACCGCGGCCAGACCGCCCTTTTTTTTTCCTTTTGCCAGCCGCGTGGAGTGCCAACCTTGCCTGGTCCCAGCAGGTCTACTGAATAAACCTACCCCTTACCTGAATACCACGTGCGTGGTGCAGTTCTTACTCGGCCACCTCTTTTTAAAAACCTAACATAAATGGTGCCGTGACTCGGATAAAGGGCTTAAAGTCAGGATAGCTGGATTCCCCTCTGTTTTTTTTCCTTTTCTTTTCTTTTTTTCGTTTTTTGTTTGTTTTCCCCTTTTTGCTCTGAGGAATACCCACAGTTCTGACGGCCTTTTATGAACCCGTCTATCTGCTGCGGACACAGTGCATCAATTCTATTGCTGGCCTCTGCATCTTCCTCCACACTTCTACATTTTGGTGAGTGACCTACTCTCTAAGGGTTCTCTGTCGTTCAGTCTCTTTCCAGATACCACGCCGGAGAACCTACTAGGCCTTTACTTGACTCTGGTTGCTCGTCACTTCTCTCTAGAGGGCTCGGTGGTAAGTTGGGACACCGCTTCCATTCAGTAAGCCCTCCTTCACTCACTAAATTTTCCTCTTAAGTTTTTCTCTTTTACATTTCCAATGGGTTGTTGTAAGTCACGCCCAAAGGAGGAAACTCCATTGAAATGCCTCCTGCGTTCCCTGGATGTCTTGTCTATTGACTGCATCAACAAGAAACAACTGATTTATTATTGCACTCAAGTTTGGCCACAGTACCAACTGGATAATCGTTCTCGATGGCCCAAAGACGGGACTTTTGACTACGTCATTCTCAGAGATTTAGACGATTTTTGCCGTCGTAATGGTAAATGGTCTGAGGTCATTCATATTCAGCCATTCTTTGCTCTCCGGGACAACCCTGCCCTATGCCAATCATGCCCGGCCTTTCCACTCCTCCTGGCACGTGGAGAACCCAGCTCTGATAGCGCAGGGCCCCATCCGGAGCCTGATGTGGCTGACCCTCTTTTTGACTCTGCCCCTCTTCCTGCTGAGCATCTGGTGCCTTCCCCACCTTCTTCACTCTCCTCTCCTTCACCCTCTCTCTCTTCCCCCCCCTGCAGCTCACACCCGGTCTCGCACTGGTGGCACACAACCTCCACCAGACCCCATGTGCCCTTTGCGAGAGGTGGCAGGGGCTGAAGGTGTAATTAGGGTGCATGCGCCATTCTCAATGTTTGATATTGCTCAGATTGAGAAGAGGCTGGGATCTTATGCCCAAGATTCTAATAATTATGTTAAGCAGTTTAAGAACCTGGCTCAGACCTATGACCTTACTTGGCAGGACATATATCTAATACTATCCTCTACCCTTACTGCTGAGGAAAAAGAAAGGGTGTGGACTGCAGCCCAGGCACATGCCGATGAAGCTCACCGCCTAGATATTAACTTTCCAGTGGGAGCAACAGCTGTGCCTAGGGAAGAGCCCAATTGGAATTATCAACATAATGCTCCTGGGCGGGAAAGCAGAAATAGGATGATAACTTGCTTAGTGGCTGGCCTTCAAAAGGCAGCCTATCTCCCTGTTAATTATGACAAATTAAACCACATTACTCAAAGGCCCAATGAAAACCCGGCAGAATTTCTTGAGCGCCTTACAGTAGCGCTCCAGCGCTATACAAGGCTGGACCCAGAGTCACCAGAGGCTAAGGTGGTTCTCAATACGCATTTTATTGCCCAATCAGCCCCTGATATTAGGAAAAAGTTAAAAAAGGCTGAGAACGGTCCTCAGACCCCTCAACGAGATCTGGTGAGTATGGCATTTAAAGTTTTCAATAATCGAGAGGAACAGGAGATTGCCGATAAGACTGCCCGTGAGAGGGAGAACTATCAAATCCTGGCTGCTGCCATCCGGCCTCCTCTGAGGAGAGGCACCCAACATACACCACCTGGAGCATGCTTCAAGTGTGGGCAAGAGGGCCACTGGGCGAAATTCTGTCCCTCACCACGACCTCCACCTGGACCCTGCCCAAGGTGTGGGCAGCAAGGACATTGGGGAGTCGATTGCCCCTCCTCACCTCCACAAGGTAGGCCAGCCCCTCCCCCACCCCGCCCACCCAGGCAGGCGGAGCCAGACAGGTCGGAGATTTTCTGCTTGGCTACAGAATGAAGGTGCCCAGGGCCACCTGCTCCCAACAACCAGACCATCACAATGACGGAGCCCAGGGTGTGTTTCTATGTAGCCGGTAAGTTAATATCTTTTCTCTTGGATACGGGAGCGACTTACTCGGTGCTATGTCAATATACAGGCAAGACTTTTCCCTCCCAGATCTCGGTGGTGGGTGTAGATGGCCTACCTACCTGTCCCCCAACTACAGGACCAGTATCATGTAAAATAGAAGACTTTCCCTTTTCACACTCCTTCCTAATCCTACCTCACTGTCCTACCCCACTCCTAGGAAGGGACTTGCTCTCTAAATTTCAAGTCTCCCTTTCATTCCATATCCCCAAACAGCCTACACCTGTTCTACTTTTATCTTTAGATGAACCTCCACCTGTAACTTCCCAACTAGATCCTTTCCCTTTACCTCCAGATCTTGTCAACCCTCTTATCTGGGATACTTCCACTCCTACTATGGCTAGACACCATACTCCTGTCCTGATTAAACTTAAAAACCCTACCCATTTTCCTGGTACTTCCCAATACCCCATTTCCCTTAGGCACAGGCAAGGTTTAAAACCCATCATCCTTCGCCTTATTAAACAAGGACTTCTCAGACCCACTAACTCCCCCTTTAACACCCCTATCCTGCCAGTAGTTAAACCTGATGGGACCTACCGCCTAGTCCAGGACCTGCGCACTATTAATGCTGCAGTCCTTCCCATTCATCCTGTTGTGCCTAACCCATATACCCTCCTTTCACAGATACCTCCTGGTACCACCCACTTCTCAGTGCTGGACCTCAAGGATGCATTCTTCACAATCCCCCTGCATCCCGACTGCCAAGATTTCTTTGCTTTTACTTGGGTGGACCCAGACACTTCAAGGGCACAACAGCTGACCTGGACGGTCCTCCCTCAAGGGTTCCGAGACAGTCCCCATTTCTTTGGACAGGCTTTAGCAAAGGATCTCCTCTCTCTTCAGGTGTCTCCTAGCATTGTTCTCCAGTATGTGGATGATCTTTTGCTTTGCAGCCCTTCCTTTGAGTTGGCTCGCCAACATACAGCTGACCTCCTCAACTTCCTGTTGACAAAAGGATATAGAGTCTCTCCTTCAAAGGCCCAGATAGCGAAGTCAGAGCAGGTAGCGGTCATCCACTGCAGAGGACACCAGACAGGATTGGATGCCATTACAGTCGGCAATTCAAAAGCAGACCGGGAGGCAAAGCTAGCAGCCCAGAGACAACTCCAGGGACAACTTCCAGCTCCCTTGCTACTGGTATTGCCTTCAATTCAACCCTCTTATACCCCACAGGAGCTCGAGGAACTTACGCACCAGGGAGCCTCCCAGGAAGCACAGGGATGGTGGTCCCTGGAAGGACGAGTTGTTCTTCCCGAGGCACAAGCAGACAGCTTTCTTTCCCAGGTTCACCAGGCGCTGCACATTGGATACAAGCCTCTCTCCCACCTTCTTAAACCTTTAATCCATTGCCCTAGCCTAACTACTCGACTAAAGGCTATTACCCAAGCCTGCCCCACATGTTCTCTTACCTCCTCACAGGGTGGTCTCCGACCAGCTGCATTCCCCACACACCAAGCACGGGGACATACCCCAGGGGAAGACTGGCAGATAGACTTCACTCACATGCCCAGATGTAAGTGGCTGAAATACCTTCTAACTATGGTTGATACCTTTTCAGGATGGATTGAAGCCTATCCCACAACGTTGGAGACTGCTGACACTGTTGCCTCTGTCCTTATTAAAGAAATTATTCCTAGGTTTGGCTTACCCAGGTCACTTCAGTCTGACAATGGACCTGCTTTCATCTCCAAAGTGACCCAACAGGTGGCATCCTCTCTAAACATCCAGTGGAATCTTCACATTCCTTATAGACCTCAGTCTTCTGGAAAGGTTGAAAGAGCTAATGCGCTCCTCAAAACACAACTTACTAAACTTTCTCTAGAGCTCCAGAAATCCTGGCCAGAACTGTTACCCCTGGCGCTCACCCGCTTACGTGTTTCTCCCCGCAGCCCTACTTTCCTCAGCCCCTTTGAGTTAATGTATGGAAGACCTTTTCTCCTAGGTAATTTCCCTACTGACAATGCCAAGACTCCACTAATAGACTACCTTCCTGTCCCAACCTTTCTTAGGCACATGCTGCGCCAACATGCTGACCAGTGTCTCCCTCAGCCTCATCAAGGCCCCTTTCCCACTCCCCCAATTTTGCCTGGTGATCAAGTGTTTCTCAAGACCCTTAATCCATCTGGTTTACACCCTAAGTGGACAGGCCCTCACCAGGTTCTGCTGACAACCCCCACCGCAGTCAAGCTCAATGGACAGCCCCAGTGGATTCACCTGTCAAGAATAAAAAGGGCTCCTGTTCCTGCCCCTTCTATACCAACCCTGACCTCCAGGTACACCTGTTCCCCCCTCGGGCCTACCAAGGTAAGGCTGTCTCGCATCCCTGAAGATCCGGGTGAGTAAAACTGAGCTAACTGCTCTCCTCCCCAAAGACCTCACTATCTCATCCCTTAGGACACCTCCAAGCCATGGACATCCAATCTTTTCTTTCCAGTAATATATTTGCTTTTCATCTTTGTTCAGCCCCCTGCCTGAGAAGACTTCCTCCAGACTTCATCTAAGAGACTCGCTTCTTGCAGACATCATGGAACTGGCAGACCTGGAAGCAGTCACCTTCTACTAGGTCACCCCTCTTCCTCCCCCCCCCCTTTCCTTTTTCAGCCATGCTTCTCCACCATGCTGGGTGGGGGCAACAGTTCAGTCAAATTAACTTCTTTTCCTGCCTGAATAGTGCATGGTGTTCTTTTCATCAGCTAATTTCCTAACCACCCTTTTTTGTGAACTGAACTGCCTTGACACCATGCGAGATTTTTCACCGATACCATTTCTGGCCTTCACATCCACGTCCACACCACTTCTCTACTCTGGTGAGTGAAACTACTCTACGGCTCTCTGTTGCTCAGTCTCTGTCCAGACGTGGCGCCACGCCAGAGAGCTCCTACGGCCTTTAGCTGAAAGGCCGGTCACCTCTGAAGCCGAGGACGCTTGGCTTTGGGGGCTTGGCCATTTCTCTCTAGAGGGCTCTGGGGGAAGTCGGGACGCCGCTTCTGCCTGGTAAGCTCTCCTTCACTCACCAGACTGACTCTACAACTTTTTGGCTTGTGCCCTGAAGAGTGCGACGCAGGCTGGGTCCCGGGGACCCCCCTCTAGGTTCCCTCTCAAAGGCTAGCCATTCTAGGTTTAAAAAAAAAAAAAAAAAAAAAAAAAATTGTCAGAGTTCCTATTTGTTCAGGTTTCCGTCAATGCCTCATAAAACTTCTCCAGACTTCGTCCAAGAGACTTGCCTCCTCCAGACTTCATCGAGGGACTCAACACCCAAGTGACAGCTGCAGCCTGCTGCCTTCTCCCAGCATGGACCACATCCCAGCCTTTTACCCCTACGACGCCCTTTGCCAGCAGGAAGTAGCCAGAGAGAGTCTTCGCCCTTTTTCATAATTATCAAAAGGCTGGAATGTAAGGTCCATTCCTGGACGGCGAACAGACCTCACCCAGTACCTGCGTTACCTAGGCAACTGGGATACCTGGAAGAGGTCACATCCGCATCCGCTGAGGTCACATCTTAACCTGATGTGGCCACACCTTTCTCCCACCTGATCCCACTTCCCTTTACCTGGACACACCCTTCCCCACCCCCTACCCTATATAAGGCCTAAACCGCGGCCAGACCGCCCTTTTTTTTTCCTTTTGCCAGCCGCGTGGAGTGCCAACCTTGCCTGGTCCCAGCAGGTCTACTGAATAAACCTACCCCTTACCTGAATACCACGTGCGTGGTGCAGTTCTTACTCGGCCACCTCTTTTTAAAAACCTAACACACACAAGGGTCTGTGTCTTGCTCACTAGATTCTGTCTGGCACACAGTAGGCATCTGATTAATGTTGACCATTTTGAGTATCTTTTACTCAAGAAAACTAAAACAACATTCTCAAGGATTCCTGCTTTAGTCCAGTCAGATACTGGGAACACAGAAGCTTCATCTAGAAAAGTATGACTGGGAAGTTTCCAGGGTCTAGGAGAGGGGACACCATGCTAACACATCAATTGGTCTCTCTCAAGTCACAGCTCACATTAGCCAGCCAAGCTACATGGACTAGGGAGCATTCAGATAGGAGAGCTGTAAGCAGAACCAGGAAGGGAAGGAAATCAAGGCAAGCAGGAAGCCAGATCTCAGCATGACAAGCTATGGATAATACAGCCTATAATCTCCCCCTCCCCCAACCTTGGGTCCCCTCCATCATACAAGATCCTGGAAAAGGCCCCCAACCAAGGCGTTTTTGAGAGTGAAGCAAGTTTCTAAAATGTTCAAGCCTTCAAATGATATTCTGGTCTATACTTGGTGAGGGGAAAAAAACTCTTTCAAAGAATGAAAAGGCTTCCCCACCTTCCCCTTCCTTTCTTTTCAATGATGGCATTTCCATAAGAGGAGCCGCTTGATGGGCCTGTTCCCTTTAAATTATTTTCTAACAATCCAGGCAGTCACACATGATGGCTGCCTCTCCTTGGCTCACCTTTCCTTTCAATTACTTTGGTTCCTCAGCTGAACAATGGCCGAGTGGCAGCCCCTCCTGCCTGGGACTGCTGTAACTCGGTGCCTCTGCGGCCAGGTGCCCAGGCTGGACTCCGGCTTTGTTCCCCTGGCCAGACGGACGGGACTTTCATCTTTCCGTCTCCCCTTTCTGTGCCATTTAAACTTTAACCTGGTAGTAACTTTGCCCGCCTTGATTCCCAATTCAAAGGCTGGTAGATGAAAAGCCCTCCCCTTGGATGTAGCTTGAAAACTTCACCCTCAGTCTCTCTCTGTCTTTGAACTGCCTTGGAGCCTTTTTGCCCAGACTGTTTCATTCTCCCTGGGCCTCTAGCTTTCAGGCCTGGGGGCTTAGCAAAGGCAATAATGGGGGCTTCCAGTTGGGGCCCTGCAGGACTCCAAGTGCTCCAGGTGGTAACTCCCAGGTCCTTACACACATGCACCATCCCACCCCAGACCGAGGTGCCTGGATCTCTCATGACACCATCTCTGGCCTTTAGGATACATCCCCTGCCTCCATCCAGCCCTCCCCAATCTCAGCTTCCCTTCACAAGCCCCAGACCCACAGCAACTTCAAGGCTTCTAGCCCCAGGTGGGTCTTCCAGAAACTTTTTCCTTTTCAATGCCAGGCAGGCCGCTCGCTGCTCTCAGATGTCGGGCAGGGTACAATGAGAGAATTCTGAAATCACAGAAAAATTCAGGTAGTCAAGAGACCAAATGGGACAGTGGGGGAAAATGAACTACAGAGAAGGTTAGAGGTAAGCCCCAAAGCAGATTCAACTTTTTCTCCATCCTCCAAGCAGGCCTGGCGCTGCCAAAGTGGGTAGCGTCTCGGGTCAATATCTTATGTGGTCCTCTTTGTTTGATACTCAGGGTTTTGTTGTTTGACAACCAAGACAAGTCTGAGCATCACCATTGTCTCTGCTGCTGTCAGAGCTAAAGAACATTGATGCGGGTTGAATGGTGGCCCTGACAAAGAAATGTCTGTGTCCTAACTCTGGAAAATTATGGACATGGCCTGCTCTGGAAAGGAATGAGGGAAAGAAAGGGGAACTGGGGAACTATCAGGTAGCTAGGAATAAAAAGTGGTGGACCTAACATGTGGTAAATAATATGTGGCCTCTCATGGTATGCCTTGAGTTCCTGCTCAAGTGCTTCTTCCCATAATTCTGTGTGTTTCCACCAAACATTTGTTCTTCCCATAATGTCCTGGGTGCTTACTCAAGCCACAAAAAGAGCCAGGGCGGTACATACACAAACCATGCAGCAATCAGCACAAAGCCCAAGGATGAGATATGGGAGGAGGCCACATGATTAAAAAAACAACCACCCTCTGAGATTACTCCTTTGGGCTCCTTTTTGGGTCCCTCTCCAGATGGAGAGACTCCATACTTCCTTCCATGGTTTCCTTTCACTTTCAAATAAATGTGTGCTGTTTACTGTAAACATTTTTCCTGCCTTTTAATTCTTTAATAGTCAGAGAGATAATCCATACA